ACTTTTCTCTCTCTTTGTTACTCTGCATTTCCCTATATATGAATTTGCTCTTTGTTAGTAAATAACAAGCTTTTGATGACCAATAGTTGTACATTTACTTTTCATTATTAAATAACAAGCTTTCGGTGACCAATAGTTGTAGATATTGGTTTTACTTTCCAGGGCAAGCATTACTATAATCTACTTAGGTTGTGACATTTTCAAAACGTGCTTCTATTGATGTTTGCTAGATAGTCAGTTTCCATTGCTTTAACTTCATTTTACCAGCATGCATGGGAAAACATCCCAAAACTCTCAGTGTTCTTGTTTTTCTATTTTGCAAAATGGTCATTATGCTTACTGTAATGTTTATTACTTTCTATCGCCTTCTATATACTGTTAGATTATTTATTAGTTTTGCATTGATTGGGATCTCATTGTTTGGTCACATTGATTCTCTAGGTAAGCTGATTATCATCGCGAACAACTGCCCTCCTCTGCGCAAGTCTTTGATTGAGTACTACGCTATGTTGGCCAAGGTTGGGGTTCACCATTTTAATGGAAGTAAGTTAACTTCTACTTTTCGCCTCTTATTGATGTATCATATAGTTAGGGCGATAACAGTAGTTATGGTCATCAACTTTTTTATTTTGTTTTCCGAATTTTGTATTCTACTTTGTATTCTGATCATGTCTTAGCAAGGAATGAAGTCATTGTATACTCTTTTACGTTTAATCTTTTAAACCTTTTCCTCACTTGAGGATCTGTTGCTTTTATTTATTTATTTATTTATTTTGTCAATCATTTGTTCCATAACCTTTTCCTCACTTGAGGATCTGTTGTTTTTTGTCAATCATTTGTTCCAGAACTTTATTATTAGTTAATATTAAAGTATTAATATCAATATTAATATTACTGGTGAAGGTACTTTTTTTGGTGTTTTGAGAAGTTTCTTTTTTATTACATCGCTTTAACTTGGTGTGGAAATTCATTGTCATAATCATATAACCAGGTTGTATTTTCATACTGCATATCTAGTCTTTGTGAGTGTCTAAAAGTTTGTTTTCTGTTTTGTGTAATATATCAATGGTAATTAATATTTATTCTTCATATTTAGCATCCTAAATGCAGCTTTCATCTCTTCAGCCACATACTAGTAAATATTTTATTGAGAGCTTTCGTTCTTCTTATTTTCATTAACCCTCTCCTATCTTTCTGAAACAGATAATGTTGATCTGGGAACAGCATGCGGTAAATATTACCGAGTATGCTGCCTCAGCATTATTGATCCAGGTGAGTTTTCCCATAATTTTTTTTCTCATCATTTGTTTTTGTTCTGTATATTATCCTGACAGTGTTTTTCTTTTTCTTTTTTATAATTTGCAGGTGATTCTGACATCATCAAGACTCTCCCTGGTGATCAGTGAATTTGATCAAGAATTAGTTTTTGTATTAGCGGGCTAGAAATGCGGTGTTGTTGTCAAAGATGGTGTTTCTTTTCCTTAGGATATCTTTTTATGTTATCTATGTTAAATTTTGGCGTATGTTTTGGAAGAGAATTTTAATCAACCAGAGATTAAATTTGTTTTTAAGAGCTTATTATATTTGTCTTGCAATTTGGTTTTGTTTGAATTCCTTTGCTCCTGTGCTTGTATCATCCCCACCCTTGGTCTTATCTGAGTGCAAAATGCCAGTTTCTTCCGGTGGTTTCGACTGTTTTGTTACATATTTGTCAGTTGACACGCAAACTGCGATATGATACAAGTTGGTGTCAACGCGATAACCAAGAATTTGGGATTTATCATCGTAGAGAATGTAAAATTTTCCCTGTTTGAAGAAGTCTTATGTATGGTTTTCAAGTCTTAAGATAGTACTAGCAATCTAATGTATCTCGGTGCAACGCACCTATACACATATCACACCGTGATCATTTATAAGTTTGCAAATTGAAAATTTCAAATGAAGATTGCCGGTGAAGAGTGAATGAAGGGAAGCTGACACAACATCAGCATTGACGAACCAAAGAATATTATAGTTTTGTTGATGGATGAAAATGATTACATAAGTTAACAAATTCTGTTCTGCTGCAATACTACAATATGGTATACAAAAGACTGCAACGTTTTACATCTTCATAACTCTCGCTATTTAATCTTCAAAAGTTTTGACCAGTTTTGTTCATGAAATCAGTATGAACAAGCAAGAGGAGGCTTGGGGAACACTGACACTACTGTCTTTGTTTCTTTGATGATGGTTCCGATTGTGAGACCACCTACGAAACAATTGTCTTGATTAGTATCACGCGCATGTCGAAAACATGATGCCAAAATAACAAGCTATGTATGCAAAATAGATCTCAGCAGGTTAATGCTTTAAGTTGCCCGATCTACAACAAATTGTGTCGAATAGGGTAGAATACAAACTAATAGTCAGTTGATGTCTGACTCATTAATTCAGGGATATTCATTAACTCAAGCAGACAAAATTGACTACTAATTGTCCACAAGGAAATGCTAGTTTCATCTTCTGGTTGACAACCAAAATCCTTGAGATGTGATCGATGTTAATCTCATTTGGTCCCATTCACCAGAATATTGATGTAATGTGACTAGTTGAATATAAAAATTAAGTTGACAATCCAGAGCTTCATCAAGTGGAGATGGCATCAAAATGTCTCATACTAACAATACCCTACTTTCTAACGAAGGGAATTTCAGATTTGCCCATAAAAAGCTAGTGTACAACCACACTGCTGAAAAATGAGAATACATCAAATAATGCGTCCTAGATTCTTTCTTGCTGCAATACACTAAATTTTACGAGGAAATGGTTGGTGCTCTTGCAATTTTAACATGGCAATTTTAAATCCTTACAGTTTTTGAGAGCTGCTCGCTGATGCAAGTCATTGATCTTAACATGGCCTCCAGTGTGTCCTTTGTAAGCTGAAACTTCACCTCCACTTCCCCTGATGGAGACTTTGTATAATCTTGGAGCTTCAAGAAAAGAGAAAGGGATAGCAAAATGAAGATGCTAACGGTTATATAGATCTAGATAGTTACTAGCTACAGCAACAAGTAGAAATCAGTTAAATTTACCGCTGTAAGCAGTTGAAAGTGCGAATAAAATTGCAGCATTACACATTATCAACAGTTATTGTGGAAGTGTTAACACTTAAGCCTATCAGAATATTAATTTGATGGCACTATATATAGCTTGATTCGGCTCAATGTTATGATTTACAGTTATATCTTTGATTTTCAGATACAAATACAAAGTGAGATCATGAAATATGAATGCTCATAAAAAATCATCGATGATTCAGAGCTCAAAATAAAACAAAGGGAATGTAGATTACCTTCAGAGTGACGACAGCCACTCGATTTTCTGGTGTTAAGTTTCGCTTCTCCATCTTCCATGTCATCGATTTGAGCTGGGGAATAATTGCCTGCATTTGATTACTAATTTATTATAATGTGTTCTGTGAGTACTGTGCTAATAATATACTAGGTCTCGAAAGGGAGTTTTTGACAAGAAAAGCACAACAATGTTTTAGCAAGCCAGCTCCTATATTACAGAAGAAGCACAAAAATGGGAACTGATGCAAAGTTTAACAAGTGACAGATGCAAAGTTTAACAAGTGACAAATGCAAAACATGTTCAAATTTAAGGGGAAAAACATTTAAGTTAAAATACCAAGCTAAAATGGATAGAAATATATGCAATGAAGCTACACCAATTCATATGACATGAACTCAAAAATCAGAAAGCAAATAAGATATTCCACTTCCAATGACTTGGGAAATCTGCATCACAATCTCATGCGTCTTCGGAATAAAACCAGAAATTTAACATGAACAGACAACAAATAAAAAGTAAAACAATAGTTAAAACCATCAGCAGAGAAACCTCGGAAATTCTAACCGATCAATACCAAAAATAGTAACGAAGTTTACTGAGGAGCTTGTTTATACCATATTCTTAGAGGAATCCTTATCCTGATGAAGTGACACTGACCCTGAGTGAGAAATGTTTGGATCTGCAAAGCCTGCAACTTGACCATCAAGATTTCCATTGCTAGGATAGCCGGTCACATCTTCTTGCCGTGGCCATGATGATGCCAACAGTTCTGAATTAGGGAACAGTTTAAGAGGAGGCAGGGTATTGACTTTAACCTGATGCGATACCCTTGTTTGTTGCCACAGAGGCTGAGAACACAAAGATTCAAGGGGAAAAAAGACAAAAATCAATGTCATTTGAGTGTTGATATTGGACTAAATCTCCATTATATAAAAAAGTGATAATTAAATAATAGGATATGTGATCTAAAGCTAGCCAATATGAGAATTTTAAGCCTAAGCTATGCTCTAACTGGTTGGTTGGTATGTTGCAATGTTTCATCCAGAAAATGCCCTTAAATCTGTCATTTGGATATCTGAATTATCGTTGTAGGAAATGTATTTCCAAATCTAAATATAGTGTTTGGTTAGTCGCAAAAGTTGTTGGGTTATAGCATATTTTGTTGCGAGAAACGTTTTTTCCTCGCAAATCAATAGTTTTTTTTATCTACAATTGTAAAATTATCTACATTTTCCGATTTGGAATCAACTAACTTGAAATGTTGCATTAATTTTAATTTTTTAATTAATTCAAGGACTTCAGTCATTTGTCGCAACCAAATCGCCTGCAACGAATACCGAAGTTTTTTTTTCAAATCGAAAATTTTAATTATCTTTCCCAACTAACTTGTGGCAATCCAAGAATTGGAATTATTGAAATTTGACTGCAGCGTATACTGCAACTCTATTTCCCATCGACCAAACAACCCCGAAATGTGATGGGTTTTCAAACCCCTGTTGCGATTTGGAAATAGAGATGAGAGAGGGAAGAGAGGAAAAACAAATCACAGAACACACAGAATTTACGTTGCGATTTGGAAATAGAGATGAGAGAGGGAAGAGAGGAAAAACAAATCACAGAACACACAGAATTTACGTGGTTCACTTCTCGATGAGAGAAGCTACGGAAGAGAGGAAAAACAAATCACAGAACACACAGAATTTACGTGGTTCACTTCTCGATGAGAGAAGCTACGGGACGTTGCTAAAATTCCACTATGTTCTGAATAGTTTACAAGCTGCGCCCTAATCACCCTAGCTATAGCTAGGGTATTAGTGCGACTTAAAATTACATGTATAACCTAACAATGAATTATAATATCCATAAAAAAATGATTAATTAGCGCAACTTCCTCTATCACAATATCAAAGTTCAGCATATCATACCTGCTCCTTTTCCTCCTTCCAGTGATCCTGATACTTTTGAACCAAACCCACAAGAACTCGTCTCACCTCGGCATCGAAATCGACATCCCCCAACAACTCCTGCGCATCCTCCCCCCCAACGCACTTCCTAACAACCAAACGCAGGCACGCCACAACCTGAAACGATTCAAGAAATAAAACCCTAGATTGAGAAACCCTAGGAGAGATTAGGGTTTGTGAGGGTTTCTGGTACTTACTGGGTCGAGGTCGTCGGGAGCTGGGAGGGAGAGGAGGGTGTGGAGCTCGGATCTTTGGGTGGATCCGAGACCCGTTTGCCTTGTGGACCAGAGGGTTTGGAGGACTCGGGCTAGGGTTTGCTCGGAGGTCGATGGCGGGAGTTTTTGGAGGTGGAGGAGAAGCGGAGAGGGGTTTTCCGCCATTTTTGTGGAGGTTTTGGGTTCAGTCGTCTCTACTTGGGTCTGCTGTCTATTTATGGGGTGTTTTTTTTCCATATGGGTTTTAATTTTAATTTTTTACAGATAATTAACTGCATTTAGATTAGTTGAATTTTAAAAATTAATTAGCTTAATATTTCTATAATAGTAATATCTCTTTCTCTTATTTTCTGTTCATGTTTAATATCTCAAATAGTGTACTAGTACATAATCATATTATTATTATTATTTATCAATGTACTAGTACATAATCATATTATTATTAATATTTATCAATGTACTAGTACATAATCATATTATTATTATTATTTATCATAACTTTAATTAACCTAGTAATAAACAATTTTATTCATTTCTAAAATTAATGTCCTGATTTATACTATTTAAAATTAATTTGAAATGAGGCTATAGAGTGAGAATTACAATTTAGATGGGAAAATAGAAATTAACATGATTTAGAAATCTATATTTGAGAACCCATCACTTTTATTAAGGTGTGTTTGGCAAATTCTTAAAATCGGGTCTTGACCGAATATTGAGTTTGTCTTTTATTGGTAAAAATTGGACCGACTTCTGGCCCTATTATTTTTGGGTCAAAATGAGATCATAAAACCAATTTAGTGTTGGACCACCACACCTTTGATCTAACTTTAAACTAGTTTAGGATGGAATTGGACCAGAATTAAACCTGACTCGGTTTTTAGTTGATTCCCAAACACACCCGCATATCTGGAGAGAACCAGAAACTTGTCACCACTAGGCACTAATAAACAGCGCCAACATTGATCTTTATTGACCACCAGTAGTTGTCGCTGCCAACTGACTTCAGTCAATTTTTTGGTATTTGTTGCTCCCGAGAAGAAGAGAAAATAGTGGGAGGAAGGGATACCTTGGGCTAGATTGATTTTAATGAACATTAATCAATTTGAATAGATTTTATAGAAAACAACATTTAATATAACTTAAACATTTATGAGTCTTCTTTCGAAATAATATCTTTCGAGCAATTTATTTCAAATAATTTTATTTTACATAGGACTATCATTTTAAAACCAAATTCACACCAACACTTTTCTTAAACTAGTATATAATACGTGCGTTGCACGTGATGCATATTAAAAAACTATAAAAGTTAAAATTCATAATGTTTCCTAATTATGCATTAAAGTTATTGAATAAATTATATATTATATAATGTTTCCATAATATTATATTATTTAATAAATTATATATAACCTTTAAAAGTTATTTTAATGCACTATGATTAAATTTTTTTAACTTATACTAATATTAGTATTTATACTATTATTAACATACATTTAATAGTTATTTAAAATTTTCTGTTATTATATTATTAAACAATTTATTTAGGAGTATAATTATTAAATAATAATGTAATCATTAGTTTAAGTAATACTATTGATATAATTAAACCATTTAAATTATTAAATATTTATGTCATGTACATATTTTATTACAATATCTATTAAATAATGGTAATAAATTTTAATATTATATGACTTTATGTTGTAAAGAACATTACCTTGCTCGATAATTAATATCATCTCAGTAATAAAAAATTGGATGGTATAAATTAAAAGTACTATTATTTAGAAAAATTATTTTATATAAAAATATTGGATACTTGAAATATATGAGACCTTTACTTTCCAACAAAAAATACATGACTCATAAATTTCAAAGATCTAATATTTTATTGCACTATGTTCATAATGTCTAATTTTTATGACTAAGACAATATTATAATATAGAAAAGGGTATTAATTGTTATAATATAAAAAATCCTATTTATACTATTATTAATAATTATAATTATGTACAATATTTTATTAAATAAATAATTTTACTATTTCATTACAATTAATAAATTATAATATATTTATTTATTTTATTATTATTATAAATTATTAGTATATTCTAGCGAGTGGCCAAATATTTTGAAGGAAAGAAGGAAAAAGTATATGCCTCGTAAATTTCAAGGATCCAATTTTTTTATATAAATTAATTTTCTACTTTCTAAAATAAAAGTATTTTTAATTTATAACATCCAAATTTTTATTACTAAGATGATATTAATTATCAAACCAGGTAATATTCTTTATAACATAAAGAAATAACCCTATTTATACTATTATTAATAATTATAATTTTATCCAATAATTTATTAAATGAATGACTTTTACTATTTTATATAATTAATAATTCTTTACAATAAATTATCATATATTCATAAATTTTGTTATCATTATAAATTATTAATATATTCTAGCGAATGACCAAATAATTTGAGAAAATGAAAAGGTGCATAGTTAATGAGAGGTTATGGAACATTAGTTTTATAATTAATGGTATAATTTTGAGTTATGAGAAATTGAGAGGGTAAAAAAGGAAATCAAAAGTTTTGACATGGGTATTCTCTTTTATAAGTAGTATAGACTAGTATAGTGTATGTGCAATGCACGTGACATACTTATTTTATATTCTAAAATTTTTTATGGGCAAGAAGATAGTACACTAGCTTGAAGGAAAAAGATAAAGAATTATTTATAGAAAATTATTAGAAAGAAGTTTTGAGTGTTTTAGTACATACATTTACAAATAAAATGAGTATCAATGGTCTAGGAATCGATGTCAATAAGGATATAAAATGAGTATCAATGGTCTAGGAATCGATGTCAATAAGGATAAATAAATTTTTGACTGATTCGTTGTTATTGGCTTCTTAGGCTGAGCATCATATATGTGTAGAACTAATCGATATTCAGAACAAAAGTAATGATAATTGTTGTAGTAATATATTATGTAAATAGATCATATATGTGACGCAAAGCAAAATATGTAGATTTTGGAGTAGTTTATTTCACTTTAAAAATTTAGTTCATCACAACCTGAACTATGGGTATAGGCATACAAATAGTATTTGATTTTGGACATACATAGATGTAACAGTTGTTTCTAGGCATGCATAAATATAATTATATGACAAAACTTACAATAGTTCTTCTCAATATTCAATATATATATATATATATATATAATAACTACTCTATAAATAAATAAATAAATAAAAAGACAGTTGAAACGAAAGAAGCATGCATTCGATAATTTCTTCTCTAAACATATAATTACTTTTTCTTTAAAGAAATATTTTCATTGTCATATTTTACTTTATTTTTACTACTTTTTTCTTTTCAATAAATACATGGGTCATTATCTACTCAGAATTTTCTAACAAATCTGATATATCCACCAAAAAATCGAAAGTGAGAGAACAATAGACATGAGACATCTGCATTTGAATATGGAAAAAAAAGCATTTGTCAAAAACAAACTGGAAATGCTAAGTGTACTACAAGAGTTGCACTATTCTTGTACTACTAGACACAAAGTGGGCTCCATAGCAACTCATAATTTTACCCTGCAACTTAGAAGAATAGGTCCATTTTTTGTGCAGTAGTACAAGAGTAGTGTAACTCCTATGTACAGTTATCACTACTCAATCAAATTACGTGCCTGCAAAATCTGGCATATTTATAGATTGTGTTTGGGAGGGCTTACTTTTTGGTAAAGAAGCAAGCTTTTCCATATGTACATATTTGGTAAGACCCCAGATAGTGATAGCTGGGGGCAGATTGCTTGAGTACAACCAAGAAGCTCAAGCTTGCCTCGCCATATATGTAACCCTAGCAATAAAAAATACAGATGCTTTTAGACAAATCAAATATCAATGCCGTTGCAAGCCCAAGATAAGTAAGGGTTTTCTAGACATTGGTCCCTTTATATCTACTATTAATAAATTAGTCACTCTAATAAAGCAAGGGTAAATTACACATAACCCCTTCCAGATTTTTTAAGAAAAAAGTAAAAACTAAAAGATACAAATTTTTAAATTAAGACTTGTCTGAGACAGAAAATAATGCATAAATAACTTAATTATCATGACAATGTGTTAACCAAGAAAAAGTGTATATATAAACAGACCATTGACAGATAAAAAGTTGTCATTACCCAAAGGAAATGAAGAAATAACAGTAGGCGTGCATACGGTCCAGATACAGCTCGAATATGATACCACATCCATATCCACTTACCAATCACGGATATGGATATGGATACGGATATGCCTCGGTAAGAAAAATGTACATACATATCCGCTAAAATCAGATGTGGATGCAGATACGCATGCAAATATACAAGCAGATATACATACTAATAAAAAATAGATATGAGAAAACTAGATAATATTGAAGAAATATAGTTCATACAATACAATAGAGTTCATACTATATTGTTTGTTATATCTGAAAAGCTAAAATTAAAATATCTTGATCATCAAAATCAACCTCAAATCCATTAATCTAAGGATTAAAATTGCTGCAACAGTATGATCAATATATGTTCAGATATTTCGGATATGAATCCTGATATTTCACAATATAACCATATATGTAACCACATTCTATCGGTTATAGATTTTGGTAACCATATCAGCATCCTAATGGATACGGGTACGGAAACGGATATTCCTCAAATACAGATATTTTTTAGCATCCCTAAATAACAGTCATGGATCTGTAAGGGACCAAATAATTGTCAGACTGAACTTGCACGTTGGAGGAGGCTCAGATATGCCACTTGAACTCAACATTACAGTGATCGCGAAAGATAAATATTTTTCATCTAATAAAAAAAATTGAAGGGCTGCAAGATGGTTGCCTGCAGGCCATCCAAGCTTGCCTCGCCAATCTTTTTCGGGCAAATCATCATCGCCAATCTTTTTCCTTCTATACGTTTCTTGGTCGGGGAGGAGAGGAACATCTTACAAAGCTGTGAGCATAATTTCAAGGCTAAATATCAGAAAACCCCCCTAACTTTGGACAATTAACAGATAAACCCACCATAACTTTCAAAATATTAAAAAATACACCTTGTTTATCAGAAAACCAGCCTAACAGCCTTAACCAAAGTTTCACATGGTGGGTAAAACTACACAAAG